TTCGTTTGCAATATCATGGCATGCTCAAAAGTATTGTTAGGAAATTGTCCCGAATTAACAGATGATATTATTCAATATTTTCGGGATGATATTCCAACATTATATTCATGTATTTTTGTTAATAAATTTTGGTGTCAAATTGCGATTCCATTATTATGGAAAGATCCGTTTTCAATGAATAATCCTAAAAATTTTCACTTTATTGAAATTTATTTACAAAAAATAAATGAAAAAGACAAAACACAATTAAATAGATGTGGAATTAATAATAATGTATTTCCTTCAAAAACATTATTTAATTATTCCTATTTTATTAAATGTATAAATACACGAAACATATGTTCCATTATTGTAAATTGGATTTAATTTAACAAAATGTTTACTTGTTCAAAAGGACGTATTTTTTTATTATTAATTAAAGTATTTATAGAAAATGAAGCTAAATTACATACTTTTGAAATTGAAATTGCATTTAAATACCTTATGAGTAGAAAATTTTTTAATTCTATTTTTAAATTAATTTTACAAAATCCTAAATTTATTAGTAATATAAAAAATTTAAAACTTAATTTTAATGAAGAAATTGTAAAATATAAATTTGATTTTGAATTTTTGAAATGTTTTTATTATTATTGCAATTCAATTTCATCACTTCATATTAGATTTTCTGAATATGGAAGTTTTAGACATAACCACATGACAATTGAAAACCAATTATCACAAATTATTAATTCACAAAAAAATCTTGAAAAAATTATTTTTGCACATGATAGAAAATATCTAAATCCTTATTATCCACTTTTATATAATAGTATACCATTATATAATATTATAGGTAATTCTAATAGTACAAATTCTTTAAAGATAATTATATTTTATGGAATTAATTTTGAGAAGACATTACATATAAAAAAGGCGTTTAAACAATTAAATGGTTTAGAATTTATTCACATACTTGATTGTCTTATTTTTAATTCTAATTTTATTCAACAAATCATTGATCTTAATAAACCATTTAAATTAATATCTTTATTTATAAAGGATGAGTTTAGGTTTAATAGTGATGAAAATAGAAATTTACAAGTTGAATTAATGCAATTATTATTTCAAAAATTTGGGGAATATTTAGAAAATATTAGATTTGCCTCAGGTATAGATGGTGTAATACAATACAGAGCATTAGAATTTATTAATAATTATTGTAAGAGAATTAAATTTTTTGATATTTATACATATAATATTCAGAAAGCTCAAATTGTATTAGATTCAGTCAAAATTTTCGGACAAAACCTTAATTATTTTTCCATATATGTTTCTCTTTCTCATAATGAAACAAATGAATCTATAATGGAAATGTTTTCAAGATTAGTACATGTTCTTCCTTGTAAGTTGGAATATTTGAATTTACATTTTAATTATCAGATTAGAAAAAATGTTTGGGAAGTATTTTTAAAAAATTTAAAACATATTTTTATTAAGAAATTATTATTCAAAATTAATAATTTATTTGATGATATTTTACCATATATAAAGGAATATATTATGAAAGAACAAAGGACTGAATATTTAGCTATTGAAGGACGTATAGAAACCCAAAGTAAATACTACTATAGTATAGATTGGGATAAAAAAGAGTTGTTACTATGACAGATGAATTGAAGGAATTTGAATCATATAACATTAAAGTTAAAGAATATAATAATTTATATATTAAAGCCTATGATAAATTTATAGATGAGATGTATTAGG